AATGGACATCAATTTCTCTGGGCCAATAAGGAAAAGGACCTTCCAGATTGTCTCCCACTGAAAATGTGTGGCGCATTATAAAGTGCAATATACAACAACAGACTTTTGAGCAGCTGAAATGTTATATCAATCAAGAATGGGGAAATTGGGGTCCTCAGTTCCCATACAATTACTGAATGTTGTTTCAAGGAAAAGTGATAAACATGCCCCTGTTGCCCCATTTTTGGAACATGTTGCAGGCATCAATATGAAACATTAAACATTGAAACATTCAGTTATTTATTAATTATTATGAACTATTAATTTCCGCAAGCAATAATCGAAGCAACGTTCAAAATGGCTTCACAACTAAAAATCCATTTTTAGGCTTTTTTGACCTTATATTTTCTCGAAAGGGACTAATCCTGTTTACTGCAAACTTTTTCCTAAATAAGGATGGTTAAGTGTCATTAACACGTAAAAAATGAATATAAAAAATGAATATGTAAAATTACATTTTGAACATCAGTTATTCGACTAACAAACTTAAACATAACAATATAGTAAAACAGTAAATAGAAAAATTGGATTTCAAAATTAACATTTATTAACCCCCTGTATTCTTTTTAAGGCCTAATATAACATCGCTGTCCTAACAAAACCATGTCCAAAAACATTCTTAACTTTTAATGTTAGTTAATGATACATGGTTTTTGATAGGACAGTGAAAATATTCTCCTGTTTCTTATTGCTCTGCAGAGACTCCTTTAAGCTGTTACACAATTATTTAAAAATGCAATAAAGTTTAACACAATATCATAATAATCAAACTTGAATTTGGAATAAAGTTTAACAGATGTTTAGTTGGTGATGTGTTTTCATACTGTAGTCCTGCCACATCAACAGATCTAATTAGACTTTAAGTGTAACACAGTATTAGCATAATTTGGCCTAAACGTGGAATAAAGGTGAACACAACATGTATCATGTGTTTGCAGACTTTATTCCTATAAAGACACTTAAGTACCATTTGAGTTTATTGTTTTGACATAAACATGTTTTTGGGGTGATTCAGGTGTCCATCAGAAATCTCTAGTGCTTCTTAACCAGTAGCACAGTCATTTTGAGGCCTTTAACATAAATAAGGCTATAATGTATGGGAAGTACCTTATACCACAGTGATGGGGTTGAATCTAGGTTGCTTTGTTTGTATAGTTTCCAAACTAAATTCATTCACTCCAGCACACCAGCGCAAACAGAGCCAGAGAGACGTGGCACAAAACATGTACGATGTTAGTGACCTACATGAGTGTAATGAGGCTTGTGTTATATGAACCAAACCCTGATTACACACGATAATCATGCATGATGCATTAACGGGGATTTCCACTGATGTCTTAAAATTTCTGCATAATTTCATCATGTTTTGATGTAAAATGGTTAATTATAGAAAAACTTACATTGTAGTGAACCTACACCTGTCTTCTGAGTTGTTATATGTAGTGCTGATGATGGTAAAATAGAGGTATATCTGGAAAAATAAGGTTTCTCTGGGAACTATTTTGCCTCACAACACCCTACACGTACCTCTCCACCATGAATGGATTTAAAAAAAGTTCCCAAATTTATGTCAAAACTGGTGTAGAACAATGTCTCAGGCATCAGGCAGCACATTCATAACTATTTCATGTAATAACAGGCACTAAACTTGTCTGGTTCCTATCACCACCACTGTGAAAAATCCTGACTTTTGAAACATGAGTTCCCATTTAAAACTGATCAAAATGATAAGACTTACATTTTGTTTACATGTGAGGTTGTGAAGGTCTTTATTTTTATCATTTTTGTTAGATGCATGGCCATGGGTTGTGGTTTGGAGGTGTACTGAACCTCCTTGGGACTGGCCAACGATGCTCTGTTAAAAACACAATGACTCTCGCTCTACTGCTGATACTGTCAGTTTCGCTAAAGTTCATACTCTGCATAAGCTGACATCAATATTTCAGGTTCCACTGGTATAACATATGACGCAGTACACTTTTGTCCAAAGTGGGTGCTATCATCAGCATTCTTTGATAACCTCAGGGCCTGCTAGGCCTTCAGAGAAGGCTTAATGACTTCTGGCAACTAATGGGAAGTAATGCTTACTTCATTTTTATTTAACAGTTTCACCATGCTTGTTGTGTTTAAGCTCTGAAAGTACTGTAGTAATTCTCTTATTTCATTGTTATGTTTCGGAAGAAAACAGAAGGGTTAAAATCTTGATATGATAGAAAATGATTCAGCCAGGATTTTTTTCTCTAGTCTCTAGGTGGATACAGCCAAGCATCTCATTGGTTAGGACCTCAAGAGCCAAACCGAAGGCCTAATGCACCAGATTAACCACTAACTAGGAGGTGACAGTGAACCAATCATGATTTTGATTTGCAATGAGTGGGACCTAATTTGTAATAAAAAATGTCACTCTAGGCCTTCTGGAAGTTCTAGATACATCACTGACTGTAAATAAGAGTGTTAGCCT